GTATTCCTTGAAAGGGGGGGGGGGGGGGGGGGGGGGTTGCATGCCTTAGCGGTTTACCACGGACCACGCGTCCTCGAGAGGACAGGAGCGTTGTTCCCACAGGAACGATCACCGATAGGGCGGGGGGGGTGTACTCTCATGTTTTGCATGCCTTCGCGGTTTCACCATTGACCGCACACGTCCTCGAGAGGATGGAGCAGGGGGGCGTCAGTCTTCGCACAATTTACCGCAAGTGCGTGTTTCAAGAACAAATATGCAATGGTTACACGTACGTGTCATAGCATGGTTTGCGCTTATAGACATGAAACAAATCAACAGAAACAAACCCCAAGACCCCATCACATGTGGAGTGGTTGCATGCTGACACAGCAGTGCGGACCTCTGGCGAAAGCACGCTTGCTGACACAAAGACCTGATTCGACGCATCCTTTCGAACGGGGATATATTCTCGGACGGCTTTCCATGTACTTGCACGGTATGCATAAAACATGCTTTGATGTTGTGTATATTGTTGTGCTCAACGTCGCGGCAGGGTCGGCAGAAGAGTTGATAGTTTCCGGGAGGAGTCACGGAACCTTTTGACTTGAATAATCTAAGTGTGTCTTTTGTCTCTTGTCTCTTTCTTGCTGTGGTAGGGGGTGTCTGTGCAAAGCAGTGACCTGTTAAGGTTGTGCTCGTGCACAGCAGAGTAACGCCGATTGCTGTTCGTCACTCTCCAGTAAAACACACCACTAGTGCTGCACTAGGTATTGCTAGCGGCGACGGGTAAATAGTAACAGTATGCCCAATCACCCGTGTTGACAGGCAAACGCACACGGAATCTCTCAGCAGGTTGGTGCAGCAGCAGCAACCGTAGTAGTCTAATTCTCAAAAATCGTTTTGCGTGAGATGAGCGAGAAATCTTGTACGCGCAGGGATTGGAAAGACTTGTTGTCGTTGTTGTTGTTGTCTTCACATTAAAAACCGTTCCGATCTCTCTCTACCCAGTACCTTCCTATGTCCGTACTGATCCAACACTCGACGCGGTCGATTCCCGTGGTCACAGGTTAACTTACCCTAAAAAGGTACACTCAAATAAACTGGCCCCGAGGGGTCCGCAAGTCAATAGAAATCAACGACAGATATTCTGGGATCCTCCACTCCCTCTTCGCGATATGCGAGGTATCAACTGAGACTAGCAGTCACTATCTATCATGGGCCGGAGAGAAAGAGGTACACCCGCTTGGTTCAATCTTGGTACTTCACAACGCAAGCAGAGACAAGGCCATCTGGCACAGAAAAAGAGTAGGCCAGCACAAATCGTGCTGCCATGTTGACGCTTGCCGATGACAAACACAGGCTGTACCAGGCTGTGACTCGTATGCACACATCCGGGACGAAAAGCAGGCTACTTGTACATTCTTTGATTCCATTTGCAGTTTGCATCTGCAACAACCAACCACAGATACAAAATATCAAAATATGGTCGGGCGTAGCAATTTTGAAAAAAAACATAGGGCCCTCGTTTATCATGCTAAGTTTAGAGAGGCTTTGGGCAGGTAAAAACCAAAAACGCACCCGGTACATGCCGCGCTTGGCGCCTGGCCGGGGTTCTTCCCCCGGCGTGAGCACGTGAAACACCCCCTCGTACACGCAGCCGCTGGTGGTCGTTATCTCCGCCCTCTCGCCCATCATGGTCTTCGTCACGTTCATCCATCGGTCCCGGCACGCCATCTTGTAGCCATCGCTGCCCGGTGCTACGGCCGAGTGCTGCTGCTGCGGAACGCTGCCGCCGCCGCCGCCGTGTTGTTGCTTCGACGCGGAGAAGGCCGGCGCGCTGCGCTCCAGCCTCCCCGACCCCCACGCCCCCATGCCACTGTTCCCGCTCCCGCGCGGCGTGCTACCGCCGCCGTTGGCGCTGCTGCTGCTATTGCCCCGTGGCGAGTCTCGAGAGGAGAAGGTGCTCCCCCCCGCTGTCCCCCTCGATCCTCCGCCCATGCTATTCTTCGACGACGACCTCATCGGCCTAGGGACGGAAGCCATGTCTTGGCGGGCGCTTCGGCCGGGGGAAAAGAGGAACGAAAGCCGAGCGACGATATTCCCCCCCTGGGGAGAAGCAGACCGTCCCCAAACGCTTGGGCAAGAGACCGGGTTAGCTCAGAATGCACACCATGCACACGGCCGAAAACCAGACACAAACCCACCAAAAAAGGAAACGGAGACTGCTGGATGCTTCTTGGGGGGGGGCCCGGTCAAACATTGCGGCATACCCTCGTGTATTGAGAATAAATTCTGCGTCCACTACATTAGGGGTGTGGGGAATCCGACGCATTGATCATTGAAGGGAGACAGCAGGAGGGAGCTATGATCGTGTGGAGACAGCGATGTTTCCTGCTGTTGGGCTTCGTGTCTGGTGGTAGCTCAACTGGGAACCAGCCGCCCGCGTTTCGGGACCTAGCCCCGAAGATATATGGAGCGAGGCAACATCACCAGGCCCCGGAGCATGTCGTTGGTGGCATCAGGGGCGGCGGAACCTCACGGGCACAGGAGAGCACGGCGACGGCCGGGATAGGCGTTGTCGAAGACTCCTGTTCTCCTGGTGGCAATGCAGATCTGTGGTCGAGAGAAGCAGGAGCGGAGCCTTCTGAGCGGGTGCGTGCTCCTCTCCCAAAACATGGTTGCCTCAAATTCAAATATCATGTGTGTTCATGTTATTTACGGAGTATGCACATCTGCGGTATACGGTGTGCGGGCTGTTCCCGACTTTTCGTCGTTCGAATGACTTGCTGATCTCCTGCTGACTGACCACTTGCTGCTTTCCGGCCACATAATTTCCCGCACTGAAGCACTGAAGCATACGGTACCAGTACATACAGCCGGAATGAATTGCAAAGGAGTATCTCACCAGCTTCATCTCAAGTAAATAAGTGGCTTTGTAGCAGACTAAACCGCCGTGAGCCGTAACGGCAACATGACCATCATTGAAGTACAGCAGTAGAATACTGCTGCTGTACCGTCGCTTTATCTTGCAAGATGTGTTCATGCCAGCTCTTTCCGTTGGTGGAAGCTCGGAAATGTGAGAGCAAGGGCAGAGAGTTTGCACTGCTTGGAGTGCATTCACACGCCGGTGTTTGACGGTTCGCGCATGCGAGCAGGCTGTTCGAGCTGCCAAATGTGCCTCGAAAGCTCCCGCAATCGCCTCGTCTCTCCTGCTTCAACACCCTCTCGTTCCTTGCGACGAAGAGACCTCCCGCCGCAGGCGACACTGCCGTTCGTACCATAATCGGGCACAGCAGTAGTTCGAATGGTAGGGTGTATCTTTATCCCCGTGCGATGTTTTTCAGCTCCTGCATCAGCACTCCCTCTCGCCCCTTGCGACGAAGAGACCTCGCGCCGGAGGCGGCACTGCCTTCCGTTTGTACCATCATCGGGCACAGCAAAGTTCGAATAGGGTTTACCTTCACCCCCTGCGATATGGTAGACAGCTCAGGCGCTTGGTATTAACACGGTTCGTACACTGTTCACTTGGCAACGTGAGCCGCTCTCGGACCATCAAAGCAGTCGGCAGCAGCTACACTTTCGATATTGCTGCTCAGGCACGTGCAGCACGGGCAACAAAGCACTTCGAAGGTTGCAACATAGAGAACATCCGCTAGCCCAACCTTCCCAATATCTTTCTGCACCGCCTCCCAGCATAGCGTACAGTCAGATGCAAAGATGGCGACCAAACTGTCTTGTAGAGCCTGTTACCCACAGGGGAGATATCGCCGTGCGCTGCTCGGGAACCCGTAGAAACACTGGTAAGTGCTCCGCCAACGCTGTGAATTCATTGCTACTTTGTCCTGGACTCCTGACCGTGGATAGAGATGGATTCGCGGTTTTATGTTAAGAAAAAAAAATCACTCATGTATGCATAAAGACTGCCTACATGAAACCACCTTCTCTGATGGATATGATTGTTTTGCAGTCAGCCTCGCGAACTGGCTCCTTCAACGCCATGACTCCAGGAATGGCAGCCAACGCCTCCTATCACGGAAAACTCTTTTGGTGCAATAGATTCGCAGCAACATTCACACGCGAACGAGATTGCTGCTTGATCCCTCCTCTCTGGGTGCGCGGGCGGCGGGCACACTGTGGTTTATAAACCGTGATGCTTTGTTGATCTGACAAGGGCCATCTGTCCCCGCAAGACCAAAACAATCATGCTGTCCCATGCGATGGTTATTTGGCTCATGTGACGGTCTATATGTTGGTGGCGAATAAGTTAGGGTCTCCTCTCTCTCTCTCTCTCTCTCTCTCTCTCTCTCTATCCCTCTATCTATCTCTCTCTCTATCTCTCTATCTCTCTATCTCTCTCTCTCTATCTCTCTCTCTCTCCCTCTATCTATCTCTCTCTCTCTCCCTCTCTCTCTCTCTCTCTCTCTCTCTCTCTCTCTCTCTCTCTCTCTCTCTCTCCCTCTATCTATCTCTCTATCTCTCTCTCTCTCTCTCCCTCCCTCTCTTTCCTCTGATGTAGCCATCTTGTCGAATCTGACCGTGTCAAACGCTCGATATTTTTCTCAC